AACAAGGCACAAAGCAGCTTTCCTGTCTAGTGCTTGGAGGCCTCCCTCTCTCCCCCGCCCCAGGGCTGAAACTCGGAGGCTGCACGATGGGCTGGCTGGGACCCTGTGGAGGAAAAGACTCAAGGGTGACTGACATACAATAGCAGACTCCTGGGTTACCAGGCAGTTTCCTAGAGCAAAACTGCCATCCACCACCCTGGACCCCCCATATAACACTCAGCTGTTCCGTGGGGAAAATTAACTTGGATTTGACAGTCAGGAGAAAAGAAAGTATTTGGAGAAGAGAATCACTTATGCTATTAAAACAGTAGATCTGAGTGGTGACTCTTGAGATGTTAGTACGGAACATCCCAGGGGCAGAAAGCCTTCTGCAGGTGTTACGTAAAGTTTCAGCGCTCAGCCGACAACTGAGCCGGTTCATGTTAGTTTCACAGTCGGCAGCCACGCCACGTGGGAACACATGGGCGCCATCTGGAGTGCTCAGCTGCGTGTCCTGGAAGTTGTGGTTGGCCAGTCTGGGCGCTGGGTGTAGACACACGTGGCTGTATTTTTAGAAGGTACTTAAAAAATCTCAGTTTCTGGGACTTTACTCCCCAGCTAAGCCTCTCCAGCCTTTGCTTCCCACTCAATCTGCTACATACTTTTTTTTTTAAACTACAGTTTGGAGTGTTTTAATCTGCACTGCTTTTCTTCCAGACATGCTGCATTTGGTTCTTAGGAAGGTAACCCTGGTTCCAAACCCCACAGCCAGTAGGGATGTGGGTTTCACAGTGGTGTCAGGATTGACTCTGAATCTAGGTGGTGCAGAAACAAGAGGATGGGCCTCAGTCCTTATCAGAGCATTCAGCTGGAGAGATGCAGATCCACCCTTCCTGTAGGAGACTACATTTGAGTGTTTCTATAATACTGCCTCAAAGTGTGAGAATCATTGTGTTTCTGTAGGAAGTAAACTTTAGCCATCAGTCAGACCAGGAATGGTCTTTGAGCTCACCCACACTGACCAGCTGGAGGCTAAGCTGGATGTTCAAAGCTTCAAAAACCATGAGCCAGTGGTGGTCAGTCTCCCAGGTGAATCCATTGGAGATGCTCTGGAGGAAGCTGGCCGACCCCTTATGGAGACAGGAGGAGTGGATATTCATGAATGGAGCCAGCATTGACTTAGTAACCATTGAGAACCATGATCTCCTCGGAGGGTTCCTTCCAACCCAGAGCATCTGAACATGTAAGAGCAACTTGTTGGAGAGAGCCAGGATTATAAGTTCTCTCCTTCAGTCACTGAGTTTGCACCATAGTCACAAAAAGTCTCTAGAACTCCATGTTTTCCCTGACTCTCTTTTGCATGTAGCCACGGAGATGAATATTGTTCCATCCGGAAGCTTTGTCCCTTTGCCAGGTGAGGAGGGAGCTTGTCTTTGTGATCAGGATGGGGAACAAAGCACAAACCATCTACTGTGGGTGATGGATTCTTCTAGATGAAGAATTGCCCATCTCCTGAACAATTCAGAATGACTGAAACATTGAGGTCATTGAGACATCTCTGCCTGACAGTGTTTTTACTCTGCTGGTTTTAAAAAGAGATTAGAGGAGTAAAAACATCCCTTGTTTAAAGAACATTCTCTAGCCAGCATGCAGCATGTCACTAAGGCTGCCTAGGCATTTGGAGCATGTCACCTTTGCCCTTCAAGATTCTCCAAAAGGTACACATGGGCCCCTTTGAATGCATGAAGGTCTCTGCTGTGTGAGCTCAGGTGAGCTGGTGGTGCCTGTGGAGGAATTCTGTAATCATTTCCATTCGTTAGCACCTTTCATAACACATCAGCCTACCTCCCAACTGTTTCTGAGTCGGGAGAGAAGCTGCATAAGTAGAGTTCTCATGCCATGGGGAGCGTGGCCAAAGAATATTCCTTCTCCAGTTTCCTCCCTGTACCTTGGCGTCTGGGTTGTCTCTCTCAATCTGGCCAATACAGGAGGCCTGTTTCTTGAGTTGGGGTCCAGGGTGAAGGTGGGAAGGCTGTTTTACCAAATCCCGAGAACATCTGTAAAGCTCACGTTAGTGCAGACCAAACAGAGAAGGACACTGCCCAGCTCGTGGAGCGGTGAGTGTAGGGACTTCCTCAAGCAGAGGCTTAATCAGACCTCACTTGCTGACTTGCTTGCTATGGGAAGTTCGGTCACCAGAGACCCAGAGAATGTGTTTCATCTGATTTGCTCTACTTTGGGTAGTCTGCGATCTTCAGTAGCAAGAGAAATTACTATCCTGAAGCTTCCTTCAAGTGGCTCACCTGCAGTCCTTCAGTCTCATCCTTCCTAGGAAGTGTCTGTGTGGTCCAGCATCCCCACAGCCAAAGGAAGTGCAGTCCTCTTAACATACGGGTGCCAAAAATACCAAAATGAAGTGACTGCCCCGCCTCCCCCAGAGGCACACATCCGGAGAAGAGAGTGAGGTCTCTGATGGAGGGCGCTGTTTGCTTCCTTGCCAGACGCTGTGAAAAAGTCCTTCATGAGAACAAACAGGCTTTCTATTTTATTGGCCATTTAGATCATATTATTCACGACGTTTCTAAGTTGTGGTTTTAAGCTGACAGAGATTTTGGCATTCTCTCCAAAGTAATGAACATTTGTCCTTTTTCATGGCATCTCTCACCATCATAAAATACCATTCCCTTTTAAATTAATTAAAATACTTAAAATTGAAACTCTAGTGGGAAAGATGGTTGGAGTCTCTTGGATTTTTTTCCTAATTTATGGCCTGGCACTGCAATTTTCTTCAATTGGTTTTATTTTGACCCTGGGGGGGAAAAGCAGTTACTATCATTGTTTAGTTTCTGTTTTCTGTTATTCAGCCCATGCCTTTCAGAATTATCCTAATCCACTCTATGACTCACGAAGCTTCACTCATATCCCGAAGGCAAGTGGTATGAGATTCGTAATACTTGTAATTATCTTTCAGATGCCACGATCCCCCAAGCTATTACTTTACCATAATTCCACTTCTGAAAGAGAGTTCATTGTTTCTTTTTTACTGATGCAATGAGAGTCTTGATAGAATTGCAGCTTTAGTATTTAAATTTTAACTTAACGTTATGAGAACTGGTTGTTCACTGTCGTTCCCGTTATGTGCCATCTCCCACTCACCTGTCTGTCCCGAGGACACTGTTAAACATTTTCTAGCCTTTATGCACAATGGAACTGCCTGCTTAGGCCACAGTATCAGACCCTGGGGTGCTGAGGAAGCCACTGACCCAGGAGAATTGGATTCTGATGCAAGCCCTTTAGCCTCTTGGAGACTCCTTTACCAGTCAAATGAGAGGTTGGGTTAGTTGTGTGGATAGTCAGAGTTCACACAAGTAGTAACAAGAGCAATAACAACATGGGCCGGTATTTACTGAGCAGCTATTACCTGCTTTTATTTATTTATTTTTTCGCATTCTTTTTTATTGAAGTATAGTCAGTTTACAATGTTGTGTCAATTTCTGGTGTCCAGCATCATGTTTCAGTCATCCCTACATATACGTAGATTCATTTTCATATTCTTTTTCGTTAGAGGTCACTGCAAGATACTGAATACAGTTCCCTGTGCTAAATAGCCAGGACTAGCTAGTACCCAAGGGAGAAGGGGGTGGGGAGGCAGACAAATGAATACTTTGGCTAGATTAATAATGTGGTGAAGAACTAAGTTCGAGAGAAGCAAGAGAAGCTCTGGGAGCATGGCGTGAGTTCAACACTTCAAAAATCAAATCAAACGCCCACACTCGCTCTGGTAAGACAGAGCTGCCTGACGAAAATACCCAGTGTCTTTCTGGTAGCTGGAGAAGTGTCAGCTCAGTGTGGTAAGATTGGTTCTATTCTGCTGGTCCACAGCCCTGGTTGGTAGTTGGAGCCGTAACCAGCAATTCTGGCACCTGCGACAAACCCTAAAATCAACTTTTTAATTCATGTCGCAGCTCACAGATGGCTGTTATTACTAGTGCGCACCATCTGGTAGCTTTCTATTTTAACCATTCATTCCTGCTAATTAGATAGATACCAAGCTTTATAATTATTATTTTAAATTTATGTGACCTCTGGACATTTGCGACCTGAGACACAAAGTCCCGGTCATCCTGCCCTCATTATAGTCCTGGTTTTGATTTAAGAGGAGAAATGTATTATTACTTTATGGAATTTGTTTCATAACATTTTTAAAACATGAGGTCCACAAAGTAAAAATCAACGGAAAAAAAGAGTCCTCGCTGGTTAAAAGACTCCACACTGCACCGCCCGGAGGTCAGTGTTTCCAGTTCCAAAACTGTCTGTTCTGCATCGTACCTGCAGAGCTCAGTGCTGGGCACGCAGCGGACACTTGTAAAAATGTAATTGGAAGCACGCCAACGAACCAGCAATGTCATAGCAGTCCAGTTTGGTTGCTAATATCTTTCCGGAAGGCCAGACCCGTGTCCAAAGACTAGGATGGACTCCAGAATATGCTGTCAGTTGTGTGAACAGAGCCTTGAGTTAACTGGACGTCCTCTTCACCTGTTCCAAACATCTGTTTTGTGAATTAAAACCTCCATAGACATGGTCTCAGGCACTATTCACACAGCGGTTCTGATTGTGTCTTTCGAGACTATGATGTTGTGTTTCTTGCTTACTTCCACCTTTTAATTTGTGCTCATATGTTCATATGCACAGTTTTTTTTTTAAAGATGGAAACCACTCGCGGGGCCACCTGGTCAGACCAGAGCAGCCAGTGGTGGTGGTTATTGGAGGCGGGTAGTCCTGGAACCAATTCCCCGTGGGCACAGAGGGACAACTGTATATACGTGGATGTCTAAGACACCCACTGTGCCCTTCCGGGTTGTCTTCTTGGTTCCGTTGTCATTCAGGAGCGCTGGGCTGGCAGGGAGCACGTGTGCCTGAGGATGGCTTGTATATGTCTCTTCCCAGGTTTGTTGCACGTTTTGAATGGCATGTGCCATGCCCCTATACTGATGTGTGTGTGGCCTTTCTTCTCTCCCCAGAATGTCGAGTGGTGAAGTCCACTTCTTACACCAAAATAGCTTCATCATCTCGCAGGAGCACCACCAAGAGCCCAGGACCTTCCCGGCGCAGCAAATCCCCGGCGTCAACCAGCTCAGGTAAAGCAGCAAAGGAGGCTGAAGCAACTGCCTCCTTTCTGACGCATGATGAGCAGAGGGTGTGTGAAACCCGGAGCGTGAGGTTTCCAGATAGTGTAGATTCCGGTTTGTAATTTTAGAACATGTTAAAGCGGTGGAACAGATTTGCCAGAGTCTATCATGTTGGCTCTAAGAAAAAGCCTCGGGTTTGGGAAGACTTAGTGAAGACCCGGATTTGCCCACAAATAGAAGTATGTTCCCAACTTGCATCATTTCTGCCACAAAAATTATTTTTTAGGCTAAGGGCTCCCTACTCTAGAAGTCTCCATGAAAGCATTTATTCTCCTTGGAACTGGCTAGTGAGGGGTTTGCAATATGTGTTTGATGTACTTTTGTTTGACATACTTTGTACTCTGGCCCCAGCCTGGCTCTGGGGCTAAAAGTGGCACGCGCGAGAGCCCTGGGCAGAGGTGGCTGCAGGGACTCCGGGCTGTGTCCTGTCTGTCAGTGGGCGTGCGTGCTGGTGTTGGAGCAGGATGTGTACTTGCAAGATGACCACCTCAGCCCCGCCTTTTCCTTCTTTGGTCTTAAAATGACATGAATCAGTTGCTTGTTTGTTTTGGTCTTAGCTTTAAGGTCTGTTTCACTATTGAAGGGAGTTATTTACTAAATTCTATAAACTGTTGAACATGAATTATTAAATGATACATACATCAAAGCGATTGTCACCTGATTTCAAGAAGGCAGGGAAGCTCTTATAAATGGGGACTGAGACCCTTGGGGTCTGTATTGAGGCCGTCATGTTCCCAGCAGTGTGGTCCCAGAGGGACAGGGAAGGATGTCTGAACTGGAGCGAGAGGGCTACCTCTGGCATTACTGAGTAATGTTACAGCTTCCATATTTAAAAATGGAGGTGCTATCATCTGTTTTTCCTGATAAAAACTAAAACTGAAACCTCCAAAGTGAGTCTTGGAAGAAAGAAGTTTGGGTGGCTGGAGAGCTGGACCCCTCAGTCCACCTAAGTTCTCTAAGGGTCGCCTTCCCCTTGGGGCCTTCCTGATGACTGCTCTTCCCTGGATGTGTCTGCAAAGACCTTCTTCTCACTCTACCGGCGGCACTGATGGGCTGTCACTGTCCCCTTCCCCCAGCACAGCTCACATCACACCAGTCAGGGAACGTCTCAGAACGCAGCTGGCACTTGAGATAGAGCTTATGGGCCTCACGGAGTCTCAGATGGGCTGAGAGGCCTCCCTTACTCGGACAGAGCTCGCCCTGAGTGGGGGGGACACTGAAACTTTGCTGAAGGGTAAGAGAATGACACTCAAAGTCTCAAGTTCATGAGATTCATCTGGGAACTTGCTAAAGGTTGTCATCCAACCCCTGACTCCTAGATCCTAGATTAAGGGCCAAAGCCTGTTTTGATCAGTATTCTAGGCAATTCTGATCAGATAGTCTACGTCCCAGGTTTAGGGAAACAGAGGGTTAAGGAAGTGGTTCCCAAAGCGTGGCCCCTGGAACAACAGCTTCGCGTCACTTGAGCTGGGGCCCAGCAATCTGGGTTTTCACAAGACCTTCCAGTTAATTCTGAGGCTCAGCTAAGTTTAGGAACCACTGGATTACGGAGAACAAAATCAGAAATAGATGTGGGAAGTCATTTGACTCTGGACAGTGGAGGGTGGGAGAGCTGGCTTGCTCATCTTCATCTATCGGCATGACAATGACTTCCTTTCCACGCCTCTGCTTGCCTCCAAGGGACAGTGTCCATCTCTAACCCTTGCAACCAAGAGCAGACTTCTGGAGACCTTGCAGCATAGCGATGAGCAAAAGAGAGGGCCAGATGCCAGCTACCTTTTCTACCTCCTTATAATGACCTCTGCTTGCAGAAAACCAATCAGCTGGGAAAAGAGAGAATTTACAGCTGAAGATCATCTCTTCTCTGGAAACTGATACTAGGGAAAGTCTCTCCCTTCAAGGGAGACACCACCTACATACAGATGTGGGCCTTCCCAGAATGACAGGGTGACGCTGGAATTGCTTTCTGTAAAACTCTTCTGGAGGCCTTAGCTTGTTCATTAAGCAGACGACAGATGAAAACTGAGCTCTTTGGAGGATGTTCAGCCTTGACCAAGGAACATTCCTCATTTTTTCTGACCAGACCTGGGCTGTAGGATGAACTCCCAGGGAGCAGTAAGGGAGAGAGAGGTCATGGGCCCAGCCAGCCTGTTGCCCCTAAAAATCTTGGCTATTTAGTATAACCGTGGAAGGCTGTAAAGGCGAAAGAAGCCACGTTAGTCAAAACATTGTCAATACTACTAAAAAAAAAATCAATATTAAAAAACAAAAGTTGGTCCCCAATTCAAACCCACTTTGATACTGAAAAATTTTACTTAATCTTTCCTCTCTTCCCTCTTATTATATACCATGGATTTTGAAATATCAGTTGTAGCGTGGAGGAAACATCTAATAATGGATGATTCGCCAGAATCTTATGTCTCTTACATCATAGATATTTCAAGAGAATCAGTATGTCCTGTTGCTATTCACTGTTTGTTGTCGTTGTTGTTTTTAATAGATTTTGTTTTTAAGAGTTGGCAGTTAGATGCTCTTAGGTTTGAGGAGAAATTTCTTTTCTTTTCCTTTTGCTTTTGGTCTCCCTACGAGTCAAGGAAGGTGGCGGACAGGTCAGATTATTGTGCACAAGTCAACGAACAGACTCCTGGGACCAGGAGCAGTTATTGTCCGGTGCTGAGTTTTCCACTACAGATGCCAGGGAAGTGCCCGCATGCTTTCTGTCTGTCTGATCATGGCAGCCAAGATTGAAAGGGGGCGACAGGAGGAAAACATGGTAATACAAGTGGAAAAAAAGGGAGAGAGAATTTTTGCAAGTCAGAAATAAATAACCTTGTAAATAGTGAAGAGCCTATTTTATTTCCAAAAAAGAATCCAAAATTTCAGTTACCAAAAAAATAAAAAGAATCATGAGCCGAATCTTAAACAGATGATTATAAATACAGGAAAATTTTCACTTTAGAATTAATTGGTCACATAGTCCCTATTCAGCAGCTCTTCAGATTATATAAATCTTATAAATGTCTTTAATTATAATCTTATAAATAAAGATGAATGTATCATTTACCAAAAGTAATTTCAGAAACTCAGAAAAGGAGATAGGCAAATGTATTAAATATATCTGCAGTTGTCACTGCCAATGTTTGGAACCATTCCCTTTAGAAGTTTAAAATGGATGGGATCTATTACCTCAAAATCGATAGATCATTTCAGACAAGCACTTCTGTTTTCTGCTGTTTCCCTGAATCCCTTTTCCACTCTAGTTAAAACCTGGTTATCTGACCAGCGATGACTTGGAATTTGTGGTAAGTGCACCATGCCAGGGAGTATCATCTCCACGTGGAAACCAGAATCCAAATCCGCTCTAAAACCAATATGTTCTTGAAACATTAACACTTCATTCAAGGTATCTTTAACTTCCAGGTCAAAATTAATTAAATGGCACTGATCACATTTTGTTTAATATGAGCCTTTTATGCATAAAAAGTTTTCAACTTCAGTCATTTTGATCTGGAAGATATGCCATACAGCCATCTCCTAATTATATAAGAACTTATAAAATGCAATGACTTGTCTCTTGATTCTGACTTGCTATCAAATCTTATCACCTTCCTCTGGGTGATTGTAATTTAGAGAGGGGGTTTATAAAGCAGAAATGCCCAGATGCAAATGAGTGGATTATGCCAGTGACCCCAAGATCACTCCCTTTTTCTGGAACCTAAGCCCATGGTTCAGGGAGTCCAGTGGTGTTTCCGTATCTTTTTGGAGCAAGTTCAGCTGCTGGATGTCAGGGGATTACCTGCCTTGGGCCCCTCCACTGAGCTGGCCTGAGACTCCTTGTCTCTACTCAGATGTGTATCTTGAAACCATGGAAAGGAGCAGTGAGCTATCACTATATTGACTGCATCCAAATTTTCTTAAAATAGTCTGTTCAGTGTTATTCATAAATTGCAGAACTGGAATGTGAATAATTTTACTTTTATACTCCTTAAATGTTGGCTTGGCCCCAAGCCCCATTATCACCATGAACCTGACATTTTAACATTAAGGAATCTTCATTTTTTCCTCCTTACACATTAACCTAAAGTTTGAAATGATTTCTCCTTCAGTTTTTTAATTTCTCCTTCCAGTAGTCGTCTTCCTGCACTGTACAGAGATCAGAGTGTAGTATAAAGTTAAGATTTGTAGGTTTCCGTGCTGTATGTGGTAATATTGTTGACATATTTAAATGAAACATCAGAATTTACATAGAATTTTTATCTGTTTGATCTATTTTGACCCTCCCAATGATCTCCCAATTACAAGCAAGACAAGATATTCTTTATTATATCATAATATAGTCCATTTTTAAAAAATAAGGAAGCAGGGGCAGGACTGGGGGTTCTTGGCCCAGAGTCACCGAGTTAATAGTGGCCCCTAAGGGCTAGCCCCGAGGGTGTCTGGTGCTCCAGGCACAATAGGCTGACAATCTCTGATACCAGTTTTTTCACCTCTGCTTATTAAAATTTCGATCTCAAGGAGATAACTGATACAGTACCTAGTTTAAGTTTGCAATTTACAACCTAACAACACTTTGCAATTGAAGCCCAAGTGTTAGTCCCAGGCACCAGCATTGCAGGGGGTGAAATGATTCACTCCAACTTCATGATGTATGTCAGTGGTAGACAGAAACTTCCCGTGGCAAGTCAGGGTTAGGACCGGAATGAGCATCCCCTGCAAATCTTCTCTTTGCCCCTTACTCATTCTTCCTCCTGAGACCAGAAGCTAGAGGTGATTTATTAATGTAAGGTGTTCATTTACACCCTCTGAAATATCAAGTTCAGGCCTGCCAGTGTCAGGCGCTTGCTAGGTGCTAAAAGTGCAGAGATGAAAGAAACAGCCCCTGCTCTCAGGAAGTACACGGGTCAAGCCCCTAAATAATTTATAGATAATATGATTTACCTAGCTGTTGA